TCTCCTACTCATGTTCATTCACCGTGATTGACTCCCGACAAATCATCGGCGTCACTTGCTGGCTGTGCGTCCAGTTAGCAATGGACATTGGCTACAGACTGGTAGGCCTCAATCACCCTTAATCGTCGAGAATGGTCATGTGCTGACTAAATACCAAGACGTACCCGTATCGGAGACCTCTATGTTGCGGCGTTAGCCGTCTCTGTAGGAAGCGGGCTCTCTAGCAATAGCTATTTTGTCTACAGAAATTAGTTACTGTGAAGCATATTGCTACCAGCCATGGCAACCACTCAGCGTGCCTTTAAGCAAGAGAGCCTATAAACGTAAAATTTAGGTGAAAACGAACTTATGGGACACCCTGTAGATATCCACACCAATCTCACGTGCTTTCAAGCATTTTTGGGATGTTTCGGTTGGTTTCAGGTTCAGTCCGAGCTCAGTCTGGGTTTCGGTGAGCTTGCCCGGTGTGTGCCCTCAGCTCCGTTCATCCAATTCTGGCCCAAGGCAACGCAAGAGCGCTGCCGGCATCTCGTAATTAAGACATGTTTTCCCATCCTGAGGCTCTTAAATGAATGCTTAGAGCAAAATGGATGCCAGAATCGTGATCAGCGGCTACGAAATCATCCCAAAGGACTTTTCATGTGTCAAAGTCAACCAAAGGTCATTCGAGGTCACATGAGTACCATAATAATTTTGAATGGCAACATCTAGGGGCAAGGTGCTCATGGATTTTGCAGATTGGCGTATCAACTATCGGACAACAGTCGGGTCACCTCAAGCTTGCCCCCACTGGCGAAATTTCGTGGCGCCGCCACTGCTACCTCTGGTTAGGTATAGGTACCGCCTCCTGGCTCCGTCCGGTCAGCTGCTGAGCTCCGGCCTTCATGCCCAGGCACGTTTCCCGTCTATAGTAGTCCAGTCTGGATTCACTCTAATAAATGCCCAGCCTTCGCTCGGAGCCCGGCCGGCCACGAAGCGGCACATCACACAGGGACTTCATAGGCTATAGGTACAGGGACATATCATGCAGTGCTCGGCCGGTAAAAATAGGTAGGTATCATAATGCACGCCTAACACCTCAATGGTTTCTGCCCGTAACGGCGACAAATACCTATAGCGGAGCAGCGGAACGTAGACGTCCATTTTTAGCATAAATAAAATTACGCAATATATAAGTCGTTAAAAATAGGTGCTTTTACTGGTGATGTAAAAATCGACATTATCATTGAGCTTATTGTAGGTATTGGTCAGGGTACTTCAATAAGTTTTTCATAAGATAACTTTATAAGAAAAAATTATTTTAAAATGCACAACAGTGCGTAATAAATCCAAATCCGATGAGTTTTCAGTTTGGTTCGCACAGATGCTTATATGCCTCACTTTTCAAATTATCAAACATTATATTCGATTAAAATAGGTACTGAAATAAATTCATGATACGAAGATATTTGTTTAAAAAAAGATTTGGTGCAGATTTAGTGAAATTAGGTGCATTCGCCAGATATCCCATTCCCGTCGTGAAAACGGCTTACCTATATCGTTTACGGGATCATTTCAGACCGCGCGGCTATATTGACGAGGGAAAGCCGTTTATGTCTACAGAGACATCTATATCATGCCTAATCATAAGCATACATAAAAGGTAAGTACAAATAAAAGGTACAACAGTGATAACTTAATCTTTGGAGTTCAACAACCTCACGATCTTTTCGGCACACATAGCTGACCGCATTGGAGCCAGCAACCGGAATGTTTTCCTGTGCTTATCTAACACCACGATATGGATGGATCAGTGTCTCATCTCTCGTCTCTCAGGCAGACAATTACACAGCAGACGTGATACTGGGCTCTATCAGGTAAGAAGATTACGCCGTGTTATAGCGACATAGGAATGTAGGACGGAAGTGGGACGACTGGAAGAGTAATAAACCCCGCTACACTTTTGTCTGAGGTGTAAGCAATTCGGAACAGAGGTGATAGGTAAGCAGACCTGCACATGCAAGCTTAGACCCGTGGGTGTGAGTCATCTCGGTGCAGACAGAATGAATAGGTAGGTATGCACATGTATGCAATTTAAATAGGTGCTCATTTCAGTGTTTGATTCGTCTCGTTCACGGGAAGTATGCATGGGGGTGTATAATTTGGCAGAACATGATGGCAGTTATATATGTAGAGGAATGAATTGCACTCGACAACTCTGATGCAGTTGAAGTGTCAAAACGCGGTCGAGCATGACAGCAGCTAATGGGGAGGCAGCATGTGCGTGCATGCATGCAGTGCAACGTAGGTAGGTACCTACCTAATATATCAGCTATATAATTTGTCTCGTGAACGGGGCCAGCAACGCTTGAAAGTGAAACGGACATTGCCGGGAGTTGTGTCGTTGTACAACATTTTGATTGCGCTCACTGCTCAGTGTTCGGTGACTTGAACACTTGTCTATGCACATTTGGCACACCATAGGCATACCTACCCAAAAACCAAGCACATCAACGACAGCGACAAAGGCTCCACCACGCGCCTCACGGAGTCACGCCAACATTTGCGACCGAGAGCCAGATCGGTGGCACAACTCCATCGGTTCCTAGTCTTCCCCTAGCTGACGAGATCGTCCAGATCTCGGCAAAAAACCAGCGCCATTTCTATCACCATATCCGCTTCCTTGTAGGCGATCACAGCGCCGACTCCCGTCTGAAGCAGTCTGTTTGGACGCCCCCCCGACGCGGCTCGGCGATACGGGTGCCTGTCAGTCGGTGCGGGACACTCACCCGCCCCCTGCCCCGAACTGTGACGAGAGGGAATCCCAGCTCAGGGCCGGCGAGGCGGGGCGACCAACCCGGAATGATTGCGGCCGACAGATGGCATATCGAATGTCGTGCCTCGTGTCTATCAGGAACTTGATATAACGTTTTGCAAGAGTGCATACCGCCCCCGACCCCTCCCTGTTTAAAAGGTTGAAGGGGCAATGCGTCAACAGACGGTGGACGGACCGGCCTTGATGTTTTTGTAGGAGGCGAAACATGCTGACCTTTCTCAGTAACTCACAATTCGTGAAGCAGTTAGGAAATCGCGCGAAGAAAGGTCCTATACGAGCCCAGAAACTGGGTGCCAGGCGGTTGGCTTTTGATCTGTTGTAAAACAGCGCCCTTGGGAACGATAAAGGTAACGCAACTGTCACTAAGGTCTGGGGAAGAAAAGAGGGAGCAGAGACCGTCTAAGGAGCATTGTTCATTTGACGGGCCGCCCTACCTTCCACAAAAATGGACGACGTACCCGTGCTCGGTGCCCTTGTCTAATGGCTATGCAGACGGGAAACTACCAGGTTTGAATGTTCAGCACAGCTGACCACACGCGGACAGCTTTGAACATGCTGCTATCACGTCACCTGATGTTGTGACTTTCGGCTCATGAAATTAATTTCCCGGCGAGTGGAGCTGGAACACCCCAAACTATCCCGTACCTCTAGTCTCCGCCTCATGACTCGAGATAACCCGGCGATATCCCCAGTCTCCGGAGCCGGCACTGTATTCCCACGCCATTACCGCACACATACCAAACATACTCGGTGAAAGTGAGCTGTACCGTCGGACTGACGGAGCTTTTGGTCCAGACTGGGGAGCTGGAGTTGAACTCACCTGTTTCCCAGGTGTGAAGACAGAGTAGGACGGCCAGCAGCCGCACGGGGCTGCTCCGCCGCCACATGACACTTCTGAGGGGCAGCCGTCCGGCGCTGCTCAGCTCCAGCTCAGCTCACGGATCAGCACCAGCACCGCACCGCGCAGTTTTTCACTCTTCAGCACTGACAGCGGCCGCAGCGACTGTGTCTGTCACACTACACCGATCTCCCGGGCACGTCTTCACAGTAAACTCTCCTCAGTACCACCACCCGTTTCGTGTCACACACTGACTCCTCTAGTCCCAGCCTCACGCTGTGCCCGAGCCGTCGCCCGTCCGTCCGCACAGAACGCCCGCACCGGTCACTGCCTCTCACCTGGCCAGACTGGCTACTCTGATCCGGAGTGCGGACCGCCGCCGCCGCCGTCTGATTCACTGTCGCTGCAGTCGGTGACGTCACACACGGGGGGACGGGGGGGGGGGGCGCTGACCGGCTGCCGGTAGCCCGGCGGAGAAGAAAAGAAACCAACGTACTGTCGGATTACGTCGCGTGTAGATACATACTCATCTATCAAGTTTCCTCCCATACAGTAAAAACCGCAGTCTGTACGGACTACCGTCTGATCACCGGTCTGCGTTCCGCTGTTCTCCGTATCTCGGAGATCTGTTGACCAATCAGCGTCGTTGTCTGTATGTCGTCACTGTCACAGTACGGCCTATCTCAGAACGTCAGACGCGGCTGTGGTGGACAGGGCGGCGCCGGGGAGGGGGAGGGGCGATAGGGCAGCGCCAGGCCCGAGCGAGGGTCAAGGCCGCACCCAATGATCAGCCAGTGCGATACATACCAGTAGCGGGCGTCTTTTTCGTACTTCTTGGTCAGTCCCGGCGCAGGTACTACCAGGGCGGAGACCAGTGGTGTGTTCACCTATCCGTGCTTCTATCCTCAGGATACCGAAATCCTTCTCCTCCACGCCGCAACCCCCCTCCGGGCTGGACAGGCAACTTTGTCTCATGCGGGCTGCTCCCTTGGAGCGGCACCGCTGCTCCCGAGGGAGCGCACCCCGTAGCCGGCTGCAGTGAGTGCCTTGGGGCTGGGTGGCCTGTCCTCTGGACGGGCTCAGCCCCGGCGACTCACTAGGGTGCCTGCCCAGACCAATGTCTCCCCCTAATTCCTATCATCCTTCCGGCTCTGCAATGGTCTTGTCGACCGAAAGGGCCTAACCCAACAAAACAAACAAACAAACAAACAAACAGTGGTGTGTTCATGGGTGCATACCGGCAGTGACTGGGGGGTCCGGCGACCGGCGACAGGTCGCAATCACGGACTGGCTGCTAGGTGTTGGATTTCATACATGGTGGACGCCTTGACCGATTTTGGACATATGTTTCGATAGACATTCGGTGTATTGGTGAAACAGCACAGACAAAATAAATCATCAATAACCAACAAAAAGACGAAGGGAATCTTTACGATCCCTAAGAGCGCGTTTCGGAGTAAACCTTATAACGATCGGCACCGCAAGGTCACAGCATCGGTATGGGACGGACGCAGTTTGAGATCACAACATCTAGCTGTTAGCGTGGTGAACATTAAACGTTCGAGCGGTGGGGTTCATCCACTTCATGTGATACATCACAGTATGATACACAGTTCCTACCATGAACGATAAAATAGACAAATGAGACATAAGTGGTGATCAAAGCCGTCCTAACAAAGGTAAAAATACCTAGAGTTGATAATAAGAGCAAAAACGCATAAAACAGGCTACTTGTGAAACAGCGAAGCGTTAACAACGCATCAATATACACCGAAAAATGAAAACAACAGCCAATAACTGAGATCATGACGTGCTGACTGCCTCGAAAGCAGTTATACTGACGTGTGGCTCTCCGACAACAAAACCCTCGCAACACAACGACCAGTGATAAGTGCCTGTTTCAAATCACCGGTCAGTCCCGACCGCGGGTTACCCGCTAGGACCGTGTCACGGGACCTCAGCCTCCTTACCCACCCTCTCGACCTCCTCCTTCCCTGCCCCTCCCCGCGGCCGACTCAGCCTGTATCGGCTGCGGTGGCCCATCAGATCGACGAGAACGACTGCTGGAGCTTTTCAAAGAGCCGCGCCGAGTCAACGTGATCCGGGTAGGCGTCCAGCGCCTTCTTGATGATGATGTAGGCCGACTGCAGGTCCCCCATCTGACGGTAAACAACGCCGTGACGCTAGCAGGGGTCTCAAAGATAGCGGATGGTCGACCAATAGGAATATGATTTCTGCCACTATTCGCGTAACTCCGCTTCAATTTCATATAGCGTGGAGTCCAAGAACAGCATCGTCATCGACGGCCGTATGTACACATTTCCCGTGAAGATAGAGCAGGGGAACCACAGAAGGGGGTTGAAACAGAACAACACCTTCACCCGGGCCATAAGCATTTCCCGTGAAGATAGAGCAGAGGGAACCACAGAAGGGGTTTGAAACACTGGGCTATCAACACCGATAACCATATGAACCCGGTAAACACATTACCCCGCATTTTGAGTTCCGCCGACTGCTACTCGGTATCACCCGGATCAATAATTCTAGGATTTGATAATTCTAAGCGACACATTTGATCTCGATAACCCAAAAATAGTTATTCTCGCAGCTGACCTCCAGCATGTGGCAAACTACCTCCTTCTTAACCACCTCTCACAGCAGCGACCAGCTCCGCCCAAAGAGATCCTATACATCAACTGCCTCGTCCCGCAGCTACATCACCCACCTTCTCCGACAGGGCGGCGTGGTTGTAGAGCGGCTCGAACATGTGCGGCGCCAGCGCGGCCGCCGTCTGGAAGAAGGCCCTGGCCTTCTCCGGCCGGCCCTGCTGCTGCTCCAGCACGCCCAGGTTGTTGTACGCCTCGGCGTGGTCGTGGTTAGAGACAAGAGCCAGCCGAAAACACTGGTACGCCAGGTTGATGTCGGCAATACCCTGGTACAGGGATAGGAAGGGAGTGGTCAGTGCGCACAGGATAACACAGCATGGAAGGCTGATTTCGGCAATACCCTGACACATGGGAGCGTTCGGGAAAGAGTGGACACCGCTGAACTGAGGGGCCATCTGGGGATGACGGGCAAGTGAATAGAACACTGTCTGATACTACTGGATAAGAGACAGTCAGCGGACACCACTAGATGGAGATGGGTACCGACAGGGATAGTGGAAACTGCACCACTGGACGTCACAGATTAGTGAGCGAGCCGAGATACACAGAAGCCGGCCCCGCGGATCTGCTGTCGGAACCATATGACCATTGTTGATCATACGAGAGGAAAACATATATAGTTCCGGGTCCGACAAAGAGGACTCGCTGTGAGGATATCTGAGTACGCCAGTTCGGAACTAACATACGGACGGCAGTCTGCACATGGAACAGACAGCGGGCTGACACTGATACACAACCGACGGAAGGCTGCGGCCTGCACAACCCTCCAGCAAAGAACGGAAAACACCGGCCTCCCAATCGGTCTGTATGTGCACTGTGCAACGTAGTACTAGCCTGCTCTGTAATCTGCATGGCGTGCAGAGTGCACCCTGCACACTGCACAGGGAACCACAGAGTACGGCACGCAACTGAGCTGCTCGGCTTTTCAGAGCTCCAATTGTGTGAGTCGTGTTCAAGTTTATATCGTTCCACGCCCGTTAGGAATGTACTCGCACGTTATCTTTCTTCCTTCCTAATCTTCTGTTCCGTATCTTAGCTTCGATGTCTTATTTTCCGTCCGGAGCCATGAAGAATCCTCTATATACCAATTGGCTACTGGCCTAGAACATCCAGATATGATTTTGTCAAAGTTGAGACATTTTACGTTAAAAGTAAAACGTTACGTTTACGCTGCTGAGCTCAACGGAAGGCTGTCGGACGTCGACTGGACTCCACTTTTCGCATCTGAGGACCCGGCTGTGCAGTGGGAGTACTTTGTGTCATGTGTGACTGGTGTGCTTGACTTGACGAACTAGCACCAGTTCGCAGTGTAAAAATTCGCAACCCTGCCGCGCCTCCGGTCAGTGACACCACTAAAGCCGTCATGGCGGAGCGCCGGGCTGCACTTCGTGACGGTGACCGTGAGCTCTACAAACAGCTGAACCGACAGGTGCGCAGCAGCATACAGAGGGACAGCAGGAGCGCGATCCGTGATCGGCTGCGGGATGGCGGTCCGTCCTCCGTGTGGCGCAGTGTGAGGCCCATCGTAGCCGGGAAAAGGGACGGGGCGGTCAGCCCAGCGGACGTCGATGTGGACGCCTTGAACCGCTACTTTGTGGGCCTTGGACCACGCACTGTCGCACAGGTCGACGGATCGGGGCCGGACCTTCCGGTCAGGCTACCGCGTGTATCCACTTCGGCGTTCGCGCTGCGCACAATCGGCCTTGGCGAGCTGCGATGCGTTTTGTCCCGCATGAAGAGCTCCACAGCTACTGGTATCGACGGCTTATGAGTAAGTTCGTTAAATGTAACATTATAAGTCAACTGATAATGTTTTTTCTCCGCGGTGAGGGCGAGCGCCGCCCATGTGATTGCGTCATACCGCCCGCTCGTCAGGTCCGCATGACCCGAGCCCGGGTCATTCGCGCTCGCAGCGCCGCCGAGAGCAGTCAGCCACTGAGCCGTGGGCTGAGCGCGGCGCTTCCTGCTTTTCGTGACGTGTCGTGTTTTTTTCGACACTGCTGCTGCTTGACAGCACTGGAGGTGAGGTGTCTTGGAGATCGCATTAGTGATAACTATGTCGATACCTTTGCGGCCGCATTGCCGATCAGCAGATATTGCATCTAGATTCTTTGCTTGGACTTGACTTTCCAAGTCTGACTGGTTTCATCGCTGATGACATCTTAATGTTTCGCGTTACGTGCGAGCTTGACAGTCTGTGCTGTGCGCGCAATATTCTCGGCCCTCCGGTCTACCTCGTCAACCTCCGGTCTAGCAGCATGATTTTCGCATTTTAGGAGGCTCGTTTGTAAATTACCTAAGTACCTATAGGTAGCACCAATCAAGCAAAATCTAACTTCTCGCTGAGTTTTGAGCTGCATGGGACGGTCTAATTCCGTCCCCGCCTACCGGTTTCCTTCCCCGTCTGTGCCGTGGACGGTCGCCAGCCGCATCAGCTGCTCATGCCTCGGGGCATTTATCGGCGTCTGGTGCCTGGCCGGCGCGGCCCGGACACTAGTCCGGCCGACCTGCCCACTGGGCCCCCGGGGCATTGACCTACTGACCTCTCTCCCGCATGAGGCGATTCGCATTGACCAGATTCGGACGCAGATACATAAGTGAGTGATGGACAAATAACTTACAGCTACATCACTACAGCTATTACAGCAGCCTGGCATGAAAATTTTGCGATGGATTAGTACATATGAGCTTTTCCACCGCTGCATTGGCGTCTCAGTGCATCGCTTGCCTCAATCTCGGTCGTCTCCGGGCGTTTTGCAAAATAAAAAAATATAATAAAACTCTGGTAACACAAAGTAGCCTTGGGTAACACGACTCATTATGCATTGCTGCCTCAGTACAGGGCTCGCTTAACGCGTGCCCCGTGCGTCTATGGTTTGCTTTTTTTCTCTAACGAGCAGAAATGAGCAGAAGTACGCGTCACTTGGCAATATTATTCCATTAGTAGTCAAGTTCCGGTTGTCTCCGGCACACAGGGCAGCCTGACGCATTAAATGCTGCGTTTTCTGGCATGAGACAGTAGCATAAAGGCCTCTCAATTGCACTGGCTCAGGACATGTTGGATTTTTCTCCGGCCATGCCAAGTGTTACCGGCTATTACTTAGAGTACGCCATGTTGGCACGCCACATACCACATTTTTAGGTAACACAAGTTGGCTTGTTTGTCCGGTCATTTTATCGGCATTGCCGGTTCTTCGTATTAAACGGCAGACTATGTAAAGAAAAGGCTGCACTATTTGCGACTTTTCCGTCGTTTATAGGCATCACAGCTGCGTTGTCGGCTCAGTGCATATTATCAGTATATATATAAGTATATATATATAAGTATATGAATAACTTGTTTATGCTACGGTCGCACCCGAGTCCGGTGCTGCCGCCTTGTTAATGGCAAACCAGTAAAATACTGGTCAAATTTCAGTAGCATATTCAGCTAGCGCTGCGTTTGAGTCGAGCGCGCGTTCAAAGCGTTGTCGTCTCAGGGTCGAGCTAGCATAGGCTCCGGTCGACTCCGGTGCTGCCGCCTTGTTAATGGCAAACCAATAAAAGGGTCGAGCTAGCATAGGCTCCGGTCGACTCCGGTGCTGCCGCCTTGTTAATGGCAAACCAATAAAATACGTACTACTGGTCAAATTTCCGTAACACATTTCACAGCTGCGTTGTCGGCTTAGTGCAGTCTCGGCTCCGGTCGTCTCCGGTGCAGCCGTCGGAGAAATTAGTACGTAGGTATCTCCCGGCCGTTTCCATAGCCCAATGCGTAATACCTCGTTAGAAGCACATAGGATAATTTGCACTCGATATCTTAAATATCTCAAACAAATTATTAAAGTAATGAAATGTCCAGTAGAGCATAGCATCTCTCAAATTCAGTAACTCATCAGCTCAGTATATATAGCTCGCTTATGCTCCCGTCGTTCCCGGTACTGCCGAATGCCGGCTGCAATACCAGAGCTATGTTTGAGCCCCCAGACAGAGTTTTCTCTCAAACTACATGCATTATCCGGGTGTGTCACTTGACGGTTTTTGCGTCACGCCTCTAGCAATGCAATCGTTGTCTTCGTATACGAAGACAACGTTACGAAGGCAATGCTATACGGAGCTGCTTTCCGCTTATGTCTTACCCCAGTCATACCGACTTTAACCTGCTGAGTCAAACTGGCTTTTTATCTCAAGTTTAATAACAAGTGTCTCAATGATGTCGTTTCAATGCAGAGCTTGATTATGAGCCGGTCGTCTCCGGTATCGCCTGCTTATGGCCTTGCATAGTCCGGTCGTCTCCGGTATAGCCTGCTTATGACCTTGCATAGTCCGGTCGTCTCCGGTATAGCCTGCTTATGACCTTGCATAGTTCGGTCGTCTCCGGTATCGCCTGCTCATGGCCTTGCATAGTCCGGTCGTCTCCGGTATCGCCTGCTCATGGCCTTTGCATAGTCCGGTCGTCTCCGGTATTGCCTGCTTATGGCCTTGCATAGTCCGGTCGTCTCCATTATCGCCTGCTCATGGCCTTGCATAGTCCGGTCGTCTCCGGTATAGCCTGCTTATGGCCTTGCATAGTCCGGTCGTCTCCATTATCGCCTGCTCATGGCCTTGCATAGTCCGGTCGTCTCCGGTATCGCCTGCTCATAGCCTTGCATAGTCCGGTCGTCTCCGGTATCACCCAAGCCTGTGTGAAATGCGCATTACTGGTCAATCATCGGAAACTTATGGCCTTGCACCTATGGCCTTGCACCTAAATCAGTCGTCTCCGATGTCGCCGATGCTTATGGCCTTGTAAATATGTATAGTCCGGTCGTCTCCGGTATGGTCTGCTTATGGCTTTGCACCTAGTCCGGTCGTCTTAGTATCGACTGGCTTATGACCTTGCATAGTCAACGCTGTTGCATAACGCATTATACCGCCCGCTTAGGGCATAATTGCAAGGCAAAGCGGAACAAGCGAACGTGTCGGTGATAAGCGTTTCCACTGTCTCCTGCGGCGCCAGACACAACAGGTCGCCCTGTTCATCGGCGGCAACGATATCGCACGCAGGGTATTCCAGCAGCTTGAGCTCCTCTGCAGCAGGTTGAGGAGCTCTGCATGGCTGCAATTGCTCTATGAGCTGAATCAGTTATATAGTTCGCGTATACCCCGTCATGCTCAGAGACAATCTTCGGAACGCTCGCGCTTTTACCCCCGGGCCTGTTTCTCTGGGGCGGGATGGTGTCCACCCTTCGAAGATATAGGGCGAAGGGCTCTGGAAGCGTTCTTACCTACCCTTGTTGAATTTAAG